CTATGTTCTATAAAGCTTTAATAGATACACAATTTGAAAATAATTTCAGCAGCTCATTGGAATAAAACCCTGGACTGGTAGTGAGTTCCAAACCAAAATGAAAACACTTTGTAAGTTTAATGAATGAATGGTCTATAAGTTGTCATTTGCTGAAGATGCATGCAGGCAGCAATGTGAAAGATTAGAACAAGCCACAGCTTCCTGTAGATAGCGATAAAATCTTCTTTCAGGGTGAAATGATGTTTCCTGGGGCTCCAACTTACTGCATCCATCCTTTTACTTACTTTCAAACTCATCTAAAGCACGAGTACAAGATCTACACCCTCCCTTCAAGAAAGTTGCATTCATCTTGCAAGTGTGCCGTGAAGTTTTATTTCACTTCTCATCAGCCCTGACTTTGGTTATATGTTCACTTTTTAAAGGTAAAACAGAAACTCCATTCACTGCTTTTGTCAAAATGACATGCAAGGATTATTGCAACTGATTCACAACAGCAAATTTCAAACCATCCATCACTGGCAAAAAAAATAACTTGCATCTTAATTATTTGAAGAGACACGGTGACCCCGTTGTTAGCTGTGCTACCTCCTCACAATGCTGGGTTTCTGGGTTCAATTCCATGGGTGTTGTCTGCATGTTTGTATGTACAGTATGTATACATGTGTATGTGTATGTAAATGTGTATGTATATCTGTATGGGTGTGTGTGTACAGTATATGTTTATGTGGTGATGTTTATGTGTTTGAGTATGTACTGTATACTGTATGTGTAGGTATATCTGTATGTTATAATATGTTGTGATAATAACCCTGCTCAGTACAAAAGGAACCACATGTTTGGACATTTACTGTCTGTGGTTGGCAGAGGAGCCAATGGTGTGAAGCTGCCATCTGTGAGTTTATGACTGAACACCTCTGAATCAGAATCCCCCCTAAAAGGTGGCGGCTGTATTTGTTTGTGTTTCCTCCCACAGTCCAAACCTGCTGGTAGGGTACTTGGATTCTGTTATGAGTTTGGCCCTGATCTGAATGTGTGTGTCCTGCAATGGACTGGTGTCCCATCCAGAGTGTACCCCTACGTAAGGTTCTGGCTCCCACCGCAACCCTAAAATGGTTGTTGTTGTATGGGCACGCTGTGCAAAAAGGCACAGACAAAACGAACACTTGAGAAAATAAAACTGAGAAAACAATTGGTAATATTCATTATACATCATTATACTTAATGAATATCATTGATTCATCACTTTATAGTCATGTCATCAGACATAGGAGGGCATCATGCTTTGCATTGAGGTCAAATAAAAGTGAGTCATTGAGATAGCAGATAGAAAGTGGGATATCTTTTTTTTCTGTAGCTTTCATGTAAATTAGATTTAATCTGAATGATTTGCAAAAACAGATTAGTTGCACTTCCCTCCTTCAGTGCAAGTGAGTACTCAACAGGCTGGCTTTGACATGCCAAGTAAAGAACTACAAATTTGTTTGCGTAACAAGCTTCACTTGTAATGAATGCGTTACTGAAGAGACTTCACCCTCTTGGAACCTGGATAGGGTTCTGAATTCTGCCAGGAGGATGGGAGGTTTGGTCTCTTGGCACTGTGGGACTGTCCTATTTTTGCGAAGTGGGGCTGTGTGGCTCTGAAGCCAGATTGTGGCTACTTATTTGATTCCCTGTGAGGGCCGAGCTGCTTGTGACACCGGCGCCTGTTTTTTATCATTATCCTTGTGAATATGTCAAAACATATTGAGAGATCACGGTGCTTGCACTGAATTCCAAGGTTTTCAGTGGCTGATTTAGAAGTCATCTTTATTAATTTTCAATGTGGCACTTTCAAATTAAGTAACATCACCTGACAAGTACTGCCATAGGTCTGTATTGTCTGTGACAGCAGTCTGAAATGTTAGCGTAAATATGTATGCATGAAAGTAAAAATGTTTAGTCCTCCAAGAGTCCCTTGGATTTTTCAGAATTATACAAACTTGTCATTTAAAAGAATGTTTTCCTAAATTTACTTTTTTGTTCTTGAATTTGTTCTCCCTGGGGAGTACCAATTGCTGGATCACAGACTATAAGGATTTACCTCACTTATCTGTGAAAGCATTCCTCTGCATTTTCCTCCTACAGATCCTGATCTGAGGGACAGCTGGTTATTACCATCCTCTTAGACAAGTGAAATAATTTGTCATGTTCTTGTTCCAGACTTCTTAAAGCTCATTCCTGGCTATATAGCATGCTTACAGATATTTTAAAACCTAAATATTTTGGTAACACATTTGTAGCATTCCGTGCCAAACATATGTATGATGACCATTGTAGACAGGAAACCAAGATTCAACACAAGCTTTCAATAAAAGGCCTGCTTATCTTTGTTATTTCAGTTTGTAATTAGTCCGAAATAATAACACATGAGAATCTCTGAAGCCAAAACAAGTGTGCGTAGTCCTGCCTGAAGCTGTGTTTTAAGAGCAAGTAGTCATTGTGAATTATAGGAATGAATATTATGAGTTCTCAACTTTTCATAATGTTTGAAGGCAGAACTGTCTAAACAGACTTCTAATTCTGCTTTTACATATCCGTACACATACATAGGCCCATTTCACCTGTCAAACTTAGCTATACCCCCTTAATGATCCCTAACACTGGTGAAGCTGCTGTCCATGTCTGTTAACTTTGATATACTGGAAACGAAAATGGAATTGGAATTCTTTCAGAAGGTTCAGTCTCCAAGTGCAGTGAAACAGTGAGAGATAATTCATGTTCATTCATTTCATAGCGACTGCTTCCTTAAAAATGCAGCACAAGCTTGAAAAGAGTTCCTTGTAAGATACGTCTTTCAAGGCGTCTGTCTACCCAGCTGCTAAAATGACAGTGACCTTTTTTGTGTCACTTTTTTAGTGTGTGTTGCATTAAATGTATTTTAAAGGTTAGTTGAACTTTGACTGTTTGATAAAAAAGTAGTTTGTGGATGACTAGGATTGTGTTGATCACAAAAATAATTCCCTTGGTTTACTCAAGTGAACTGCTTTAAAACCAGACTGCTTCATTTGTTATTGTGAGGCTGAATATACCCTTTTTGGTATATTTTTAAGTTTTTTGGGTGTTATGGGAATAAGATTTGGTCGGACAACATCTGATAAGGAGAAGATTATCATCTGCTGTTAAATTTGATAGAGGAGATCTGTATGCCTAGGCTTACAGAAAAAATTCTGATTGCAAAATGCAATTTTCTTGAGTCCATCTGTGCTTAAAGGTTGAGGCCCTATATATTATAAATTGGATGTAAGGATTCTGAAAGCCTTGTAATCAGTTTCCAACTGCTTGTTAGATCTCTTCTGAAACAGATGGTGTAGGCCTTGTCCGTGTTATAGATGGTATGTGTCCAACTGGGAGTATTCCTTTCCCTCCTGAAGATGGAGAGCAGACAGTGCAGCTCTTTGTCAGTATGTCGCCACAGGAGGACAGCCGTGGGAGTTTTGAGTTTTGTTTCTGTCTGTAACCATGGTCTCTTCAGGCTTATGGCAGCAGCTACAGCAAGCAAAACGGCTCTAGTCAAAAATGAAAATGCAGTGGAAACACAAAGCCCTCAGAGAGTTGGGTATTTTTGGTCATTAAAGAACCGAAACAACTGTGGCTTATGTTGTCATGAGAGACCATTTGTTAAACTTTACATTCTATAAGAGGCACTGGTGAGGGGAGCAGAGGTTTCTGAATGCTTTTCACCATTACTGAAACTCTTGAAAAAAAAAACCCAAATAATATTTAGTTATAATTGTACAGAATGGCATTCTCTCAATGAATCTTTATCCTATATAAGAAAGTAGACACATTGACTTGTAATATTTTCTTGAACACAAGTTGCATTTAACATACAAGAGAGCACCAACGTGGTTTACAGATTTTAATCAGATTTGAAAAGACTCATCAAATTATGTTATAAAGCCACAAGATTGCTTCAAACATCTAAATACAAATGATAGTCTGCAGATTTAAATCAAGGAGGGGAAACTCCACATCTTAAGGGATTTATAGGTAGTGTTCAGTTAGATGAGTGACAACTAAAAATGTAATTTGACTTCAAACAGTTCACTGAAATTAAAGTAATTAAGGTGCGAGTTGGAAAAACAGAGAACTCTGCAGCTTTGGATAACTAGGGTTTTTCATCCCAAGCTTAGTTGCTTGCAGTGGTTTTGTAGCGGCTTGAAGACAAAGCAGGAATGTTACATTACCAGTTTCACACACAGCCATGTTGTGAAAGCCAATGCCCTAGAGTTTTTCAAGGAATGGCTGGATGAGATCCTGGGTTCAATTAGTCACTGACTCCCTAACTGGCTAGATGGAACAAATGGCTTCCTCTCCTACCGGTTCTTATACTTTTATGTTACAGAAACAGATTAGAAGACCATTATTATCCCAAACCTGGGAAATTCATTACATACTATAGGTGTTTGGCCTCCAGAACGTTACTGTAGTTATTGTTCTTGGTTTATGCCAAAGATTTGACATTTTCTGGCTCCCTCAGATTGAAGACAGTTCTGACATGGATATCATTAGAAAAGGCATTGCATTTAGGAGCTGTTTTACTACAGTATTGTTTTATACTTTTGTACATACTGTATCAGGAGCACCTGTATGGCTATTGTGTTATTTTTTCACACCCACTGATGATTAATTATTCATTTTTTTTCTACTTCATACACCATGTGTCGCAAAAAAAACACTGATTTGGTCAACTGATTTTATTTATTCGTGAAGACCGGTTTCCATTAAACAAGGGTAGTAAATTGCTGTTAGTGAACATGTACAAGAAACCGTTTTTCTCTAGTGTGACCATTCAAGTCTTGTAGGACAATCTTGAAAGATTTAAAGTGAGCAAGGGGATCCCCCCCCGAAGATATGAGGCATCTCCATGCACTTGAATGCTCAACACTGTCTTCTGGCAATTTGTATCTTCCTTTCCTTTAAGATTTCAATTTCAAGAATTAAAACAAAGAATACCAATGTCGTAACAATGCAAACCCATTTTATTTAGAAAAGAGAACAATTCAACTTAACTGCAAACACTTCATTCCAGTTGTCAGTGATCAGAACAATGCGGACGGAATATTGCAAGTCCTACATCTTTGTAAGGAATGCAGATTTCGCAAAATTAGATTAAAAGGCCCAGTATGTATAAGGATTTAAAAATAAAGGTTTGCTGAAAGTTGCCTTCTTTCCACCTTCTGAATTTTAACTCCTGCAGACAGCCTGAAAGAAAAGCAACATTTTTAAATGTTAAAAGAAGGCAGACACCTCTTCACAACTTTCAGTAAATCAGTCCCATTCATCCTGCCTTTATTCCTGTATTTGATTAAAATAAAACCAAGAAAACGCTGCGCAGATATCTCATCAGTTGTAGTAACCTCCACAACTTCAGAACCTCAGGTCATCTTCGCTGTTAAACACATGAGTATACTTGCACAGCAGCAGGAACTAAAGCTGTATCTCAGACAATCACTGCACAGCGTTTACCTGCGTTGTGGTCTATTTGAATGTATGGCTTTCAGTGCCTCCGCGTCCGAATCCTGAAAAGGAAGGGAGAAGAGTTTGTATTTGTAGTCAGCGAGCAGGTGAACTGGTGAATTCCAAAACCCTTTGAAACACTCAATGACTAAGCTGTACAATAGAACACTTTTTTAACAAGGTGACGTAACAGTGGAAACTTCAGATCTGCATTCTTCAGAAAAGAGAGGGTGACAGAGTTCTGTGATATTAACTAGACTTTGCAATGTTTACATGATACCATCAGTCATATGTCAGTGCATTCCTACGCATGCATCACTAACTTATAAATGACATATTAAATGCCTAACAAGTTCCTACACACATCACTAAATACCTACTCTACATGAATTGTGCTTTAGGAGAAGTTCCTTAATCTGACAGATGGCTTGTTATGATCTGTTTCACATATACTGTAGGGTTTGTATGACATCTTTTGGTCTCACATTCAGATGTGTGATGGACACCTGCTATCTTTAAATTCAGAATTCAATTTTCCAGATATTTTTATTGTTATCCTAATTGACTTGGTATCCTTCTGTTACATCTCCTAGCAACAGCCAGCCGAGACAGTGTTGCGTGATAACCAGGATCAGACGGTATTAGATAAGGAATCAGGAAGTGTGGGCCAGTGGTGTATTTTTAGTTTATCACCTGTCCCAGTAATCCCACAGTGGCATTGTGGAGATGTGGAAAAAAATAATAAGGATGACTAAATTGTAACGCACTAACATCACATTTTATTGGAAAGGTACCAGGAAAAGAATGGACTCTCTATCTCTGACCTTACAGAGAGTAACCTGGAATCACACTGCCTTGCCTCCATAGCTCAAACATACTGTTTAATTCCCACTTCAATGGCATCTACTAGTAATTTATCTCATACGTGAATGTCATTGTTAAAGTGGTGAATATTGCCACTGTATCTTCAATACATATAGCTAAAATACCCTGATCAGGTCACTCAGCATGCTGTAGACCAGGGGCTATCAGTCTGGTCCTGGGGACCCAGTTTCTTTCCAGATGAGCTCTTTACTTAACTGAAACATTAACTCAATTAACAGGTTAGATGACGTGAAAGCTTCAAAAGTCTTTGTTTTCCACTCAGACGTTGGGGTTACTTAGGAGATGCTATGCTAAAAAGGCAGCCTCCAATGTGAATTGGAACTGAAAACAATTAGAGTTCATTTAACAATGAATCCTGTTATTAAAGGGTTATAATAAGGGTTTAATTAGCTAACAAGGAGGTCAAATGGAAAAAGAACCAGCAGGTGTGTGGGTCCCCAGAAATATAGTTGGAGACCCCCGCATCTTATTTATACTTTTTTCATTTTACAAGCATAATGTTAAAAATTGTGCCGTCCAATACAGTGCTTGTTGGCAGAGAAAATATTTTATATGTATGCGCGGGATCTCTTAGCTATAAGCAGTTTTTCGCTTTAGAGAACTGATGACAGCATGATTCTTTTTGGATTTTATTTTTCTCCATCTATTAGGATCTGCTTTCAAAGGACAAAGCATAAATGAGGAATATCAGCAATAAAAGCAGAACTTGTAAGAATCCTTGACGTGGATCATACTGTAGCACAACTGGTTTCTGGGGTATCCTTCCGAATTGGGCTCAGCAATTTCCATTCCACTCCGTATATCCAACACATAGACTGTTTAATCTTGACTTTTTCTCATCATGGCATCTGGATTTGGGTTTTCAGATCAAATGAAGCAGCAGTGCTACAATCCCTATACCATCAAGTGGGAAAGACAATATTGCATTGAAATGCGTAATTGTTAGATCCTCTGCTATTTTTCATGCTACAAGCCTTCTAATGCCAAAAGGACAGTTTGCACCAACTAGAAGACTGAAGCAGCTCTCACTGGGAGCACTGCAAGATCAGAGGTGCCCAGCAAGTCACAGGGCATTGCATGGATAATCCAGGCTGACAATAGCCCACCCAGGGAAAAGAGGGTAATGAAAGACATCATTATCACTGGAGAATCACCTGTTGCAATCTCAGACTTTCACAAGATGGGAAGTGAAAAGGACTTCTGATAGGACAGAAAAAAAGCAGGATCCTTTTTAAGGGTATTTTGTCTAAGGTGACTTTACAGAAACATCTCTCTCAATTTATCTTCTCCTGCATCCACTGGCGTGGTCTCCAAAATTCTGGATTAAAAGATTATCTGTTTTTGTTCCTTTTTTCCAAGCCATTGATTCCTGTTTAATCTACCCACACTGTACTTCTAGCACATGACTTGCATACTTGCTGCCTCCGTAAAACGCCTCAGTTATATCCTGATGGGAGCGTAGGTGTCAGCAGACATTTTCACGTAAATATGGATTTGTTCTGGGTTTTTTTCTGGCAGAGGGATGTGATCAGTGCTTCTATTTTGTTCTTGATTTCCTCATGGTGTATCATTAACAAATTATTTGCAACTGTTGTGCAAATAATTTGCAATTGCCATGATTAAGTGAAATGGCTATTCACAATAGCACATCGACAAAATACAATAACCTGTCTATTTTCACCTACTGTCTTTTTGCACACCTTTTGATTATTATGCTTTATGATGTCTTTTTAAGGTTAAAGAGGTAGATCCTTTCTTGAATTCCCTCATTTGATTGTGCCCCTATATTAGTTAGCATTAATTATTTAAAAGAAATAAAGCCACATACCTTTTGGCCCAAAGAGTGCCGAGTAACAGGGAGCATTACAGTAGGGCTTCCCCTCATGCTGGAAACAAGATTTAAAGAGAAAAAAAGCCATTAATGACCTGTACATTATGAAAGGTATCACAGAAATGAGAGGAGGCCATTCAAACCATTCTTGCATGTTAGGTTGCTAGTGGATTAATGATTCAAAAACTCCATAAAGCCATTTCCTAAAGAATTCCACAATTAAAAAAAAGTAAGAAAGAGATTTCTGTCTCTGTGACATCTTTTCATAATTGGTTGCAGGCGGTTTGAAAACCTAGGCATTATATTAAGCTCAGATATTATTTTGATCAAGTATAAAATCTCACCCATGGTATAGGAGACATCTTAGGTGAATCTTAGTGAAATGAAGGAGTCTTCCTAAAAACTTTCTGGTTTACAGCTTAGTTGGGAGTTGTGAAAAGATACCCACTTCAAGCAGTTTTCTGCTTCTGAAAAAGTAATCATTTTGTGCTTTCATCCATTTGACTATCCTGTAATTATCAGCTCATTGGTCTGTGTGTAAAAGGACAGCTAGACTGAAGCACCTCAGCTAGGGAAACTATCAGAAGAGAAGACAGTTCTGTAGAATCGCTCAGGAGCAGGTCTTGCTTACATTGCACTTAAATTAGATAGCTCGTTTAAAGTCTGTGCTATTTACAGAGAAGATCTTAGATCATCTTAGCTTAGGTAGTTCTTAGATCAATTTTGCATGAAATTTAGTTTTGAATGGTGAGCATATTAATGATATTTTTGCCATTTTGTCATTACCTGAAACTATAGGCTCCTACCAGTAGGACCTACCTCTGCATGAGAGCCTGGAGACAAGGTCTTGTTACATTTCTCACATTTCAGACAGGGTCTGTGCCAGTCTTTGCCAAGGGATGTCACTCTCTCAGCTGCAAAGGTCCAACACACAGATGAAAATTAAATATTATACACTGTACAATCCTCACCAATAGCATTTTGCTTATCTGAGCTTTCATAATCTTTGACACCAAGCTGCATAAAGAAAAAATGTCTATTGCAGGTGGAGAAAAGGGAGATTCTTGTGTGAACTATGTTCCTCAGAGACTAATAGGGAATGACCTGCCATCCTCTGTCAGCTGACCAATTGGAGAAAAAGACTACTGGTCAGGTGACATTTAAAAACCAGGAAGCAGAGTCTTCAATTCTCAGTCAGTATCTCCTGTTGACCACTGCTGGCTAGTAAGATAGCAGAGTCTCTGTTATGTACAGCACTGAGGAGAAAGGACCAATAAGGTGACTGGAGAATAGACCCAGGTTGAAACATGAGTATCGAATTATAATCATGAGTATGATTATGAAGCCAGTATGTAGTTTACCTACCTGGCTATTTTTATGCAGTAGGAGTTTGGATAGAGTTAGGTTTTTGTTTCTCTGTGTTTTTATGAGGGGGGGTTTCTGTTATTTCCCACACTGTAAAGCAAAAGGAGCACTATCTTTTCAACCTTATGGCTCAATTTGTGTGTCTGTCTCCCAGAGACTCGCCAGTTCAAAGGTTCTGTTATAGCATCCTGCCCCTTGGTACTGTATACCACAAAACCATCCTATCTTCATGGCATATATCAGAAGTCATGTACATAGAGGCAGAGGTTTGTCTGTGATATTGTATGACAAACTCCAGTACTAGGTTTGGTATCTGTGCACTTTGTTTCCTGCAATAAAGATATATTGTTCTTCTGTAGGACTTGCGTATGATTAGGGAAAACCATGGTGAGAGACAATGCATTGATCTATCATTAGATTTCACAGCATATAAACTATTCTCAAGAGCCTGATCAGACCTATGGCTGGTGGAAAGGGTGGCTTTCCCTCTTCAGAATCTAATGCAATTTTTTTGGGTCCTTTAGCAAAGCAATTAGCAAGGACAGAGTTCTCAGCAACGTGGTTCTTGGAAGACACACTCTCCCTAAGGAATTATTTCCATGTCAAAGCCTAATAAAAAAAACGTTAATCTACTGCACTCCGCATTTGTATGAAATTTGTCTTGGGTGAAATTTGTCTTGTGCCAAAATAATTTCAAACATTCAGTGATAAGATTGGATCCCTTTATCATGGTTATCATTATCAGCATTACAAGCGTGAATTATCTCAAGCTGCGATAAAGTCCTGGCAATTTCTTTAGAGTTTTTCATCGAAAAGAAAACTGCTGCCACTGATTTCATACTGTATCCATGAGATTTATCTACTTAACTGTGTTTGGTTTGGTGTTCAGAATTGGTAAACAAATAGAAAAAAAATCTTTAAGAGGAAACTCCTTTCCTGCCCATTTTTAAATAAAATTCAATTTAAAAAATGCGATTTATTAACATGACAAGTCAGAAAGGTCAGAGCTTTTGGATCAAAACAGGGTAGTATTACTGGACACAACATGGAGCAGCAGCCCATGTCTCATTGTGGGTCTGGCCACTATCGCCATTGTGTTTAGATAAGCACATCCTGGGGCACAGCAGGGTGTGTTTTGTGTTTATAGATCTTGAAATTGCATTGGATTTTGCCTTGGGCGGTTGCTCATCTCCCTTAGTCAGATTTATACCAAGATCCCAAAGAAACACAATGGGTGGAGTAGTCTACAGTCCATTATAGTCAGGAACAGCCCATTCTGAAGTAATCATTTCAACCCCCCCCCGTGTCCCAACAAGATCTACTGCCCTCTTTTACAGCAGGGTGGATATCAACCTTAACACACAATGAACTGAAAAATATAAAAGCAAATTCCTGAAGCATGTCTCCTTCAGCTCCACCTAAAAATCCTTGATACTAACCCATTATGCTACAGTACAGCTTATTGGGCTGGAGAGGAATTTATGTATTTATTGAAAGCACAGACACTCCTGTGTCTTCTGGTTTCCATTCTCAAACAGTTAAGCTTATTAAACTCTTAACTGCATCAATTGTTAGTGTTTTCTTAAAATGTTCTGCACTCAGGACACAAATCTCCATTATGAGTTTAATTTCTGAGAAATATGAGCCAAACTGTTTCAGCTCAGTTTAAAATGTTTGTTCTGCTTTAGGTGGGTTTGACAGTGCCAAAACCTTCTTATAATCAGTATTCGTGATGCTGCATGAGCCCACTAGTTTGATTAAACCAAGTCAATGAAACAAACCTGAATGAGAGAAGTGAATACAGGCACCAGGGTTCAAGCTAAGCGATAACTTGTTTCACAGTTTAAAAACTGAATCAGTTTTGAAAATAAAAGCAATTTAAGAGCTAAAATAATGAAATCCAGTTGGGAAGAAAACCTGAAGACACTGGAAAGTTAATCCATTTACATAGGGTATCTCTTGCTCTAAGCAAGGGTTATGAGTACCTCCCACTCTGTGCAAGATATAATCCTTTAAGGGCAATACTCTTGAGGCAAATTTCAAATACAATGTTTGAGCCCTATGACTGGCTGTGGTGCCATTGAATGAAAGCCACCCCAACAGTTGGCGCTATTTGTTCTACATGAAATTTGCTGTGGAGGCTGCAGTGTCAAAAGATGAATGGTCCCAAGAGGTGAGCATGGGCATCATCCTTAAAGTTACAGTCGGGCATGAGAAATTACAACTCGGAAGTGTAGCAGAAGTACCGTACAGCAGGACAGTGTAAAGACACTAAATTCATTCACCACAGAAATGTATCTGTTACGCAGATGATAGTGGCATCCCCAGTGATGCATATTACGGATCCTTCCAAAAAACCACAATCGATCAAAACCAAATGGTGAACCATTCATTCACTCCCAGGCTGGACAGGCTCCAGAAGACAACAGGGGAAGCTAATGTTATCAGCAGACATGTGCTGCATTTTACCTCATAAAAGTTATTTCTGAGCTCCGAGTTCTTCATGTTGAGTATAAGGCCATTTGATTTCATGTTATATTGTGACTTGCACAATCTTAATTATGCTTCCTTACAAAGTACTTTTTAATTGTTTACTTAAATAAATTAATTAAGGAAAAGAGTGAGTTTAGGTGCTTTGCAGGGACAAAATAAAGTGAAAAGACACGAGAGCATTTGTTCACATTGCTAGATAGAAAGACTTCAGAAGCCATTAAAAGTTCTGTCAGATTAGTCCTAGCCAAGGCCTAATGTACAAACCAGAAAAATCGCTTATATTTTGCTTATGAATTCTTTCAAAATATTTTTGGCTCACTTCTGGAAGATTTCAGTGGCAGTACTCTTGTTTTAAAGACAACACAATACTGTTTGACAATAACAGAATCAGGATTTATTTTAAAGGTCCAACATGCAACCTGCTTTGCATATGCATCAATGCGTAATTAAAACAACTAATCTTTGTATCAAATAAAGAAAAATGTCTGAAATTCCTAGCTGTCAGACCTGTACTATAAACACTGTTAGTAACTTTTCATCATCAGTCTGTGGGCACAGCACACAAAATATATTTAAGACATGTATTTAGCAAACCTCAGCTTTATGCCTCTGGTTTTATGCCCAAATGTCAAAACAATTTGAGGCCATCTAACATTGCAATCAAAGTGAATTTGAGTTTTTTCTTTTCTCTTAATTGACAGCCTTTGTAGATGTTCCAAATCTGGAAGAATTTAAACAAAATCCATCATTTAACCACCAATTCAGAGATCTTGTGTTACTATGCTTTGAAAGGTCAGTTTTTTTCTCACACAAGAAAGTTCCATGGATAACAAAATCCTTTCACATTTTGGAACTGTGCGCTACCATTTCTGCATCTGCTTATTAGAGCCTTCCTTACCAATGTTCGTGTGTTTATGAAAATACATTTTGAAAAAAAACTAAGCGTAAATAGCATTTCCTTTTTTGTTTGTGAACACTGATTTGAAAGCAAGATGTTTCTGGCTTAATAGCAGTTCTCATGTGTACAAGTAATTTCACTGAAGCACACAGTACGTTCCCCAGGGCGTTTCCAGCAGAGAAACAAAGCACCTCAATCTCGAGAGCATTTGAATTCCATTTTCATATCACACTTGGTGAACAGGAGTCTTTCTATGTGCTGGAACAAAATTGTCTCTCGCTGGCAATGTTTTTAGCTGTTACAATATATGGCGGAAACACAGGGACTCTACTTCACCTAACGGAAAAAAAATTCCATAATTTCCAAAGCTGAATAAGTCTTAGGGATTTTCAGCATATATTGGTAATGTTATGTTATTTGTTATGCCAACAGATTATACTTTGCAAATCCACACAAGATGAAAAGAAAGGTAATACCCACTCCCTAGTTTTGAGTGCATGATGGTGAATTTAATGTCTTCATTTTAACCTCAAGCACTCTGAATACTTTGAGTGTTATATTAGAAAAACAATAAGAAAAGTATATTTCTTGAGGGCCTGAATATGAAAAATAACTGTACTGTTTATTTGCAAAACCATTTTTTTCAGAATAAAATGTAAAAACAGTGTCCCCATATTTGTGTAGCAGATGTATTGCACTGTAGAGCACATAATTGAATTAAAATGCATGAAATTTGTGGTTTGGGTATTTTAGTTTGTATGAAGTTTTGGAAACGTGCCACAAAAAAAGACACATTAATTGATGACAATATTGATGACTTAAATGTTATACATAAAAAATCGATGTAAATTAGTAAGCTGTACCATGAGTGAATGGTACAGCTTACCGATTTAAGTAATGGTAAGATGCATGCAGGGGATGTCTTCAAAAACTTGGTGTTGCACAAGTTCACACTGTATATGGAATACATATTCATATACATATACATTATAGTCCATCATGCCCCTCCGTCTCATAAGAAAAATATGTACAGTATATGGGTAAAATGATACAAACCACCAGTATAAGTAACTGCAAACTGGTTCTTTAATTATGAAAAGTCCAGTTTCTGGAGTAAATGCACATGAAATGTACTTGATTGCCTGTACGTCGCAGAAGGTGAAGGTCTATACAACATACTGTATGGTACGTGCCGTGCCTGAAGAAGCGCATTAGTCAATATATAAATATCTACAGAGACCGCTGCATACTACAGAAGGCTGAAAATCCCATCAAAGTTAGAAACACACAGTGGAACACTGTTGACCAGATGTTCTGGAATGATCGATTTATCTATTGTCCAAGAAAATACACCGAAACTGGGTGTGGACACTCCAAACACTGCTCATATTTACTTACTTAAAATATCTGATTATGTGTCATGTGAATGAGTTAATTGTTAAGCCTGTATGATATTGTTCACTTACAATATCTAGTATGAAAGGTTGCACATACTGTATATAACCACACAATCAGGTGCTCGCTGACAAGGATAGATCCGTTTTTTTTTAAGAAGATGATTAAATATTAGGATTTTGATTGTTCTTGTGATTGTGCGGGATTTTATTAGAATTATTATAGCTTTTAAGTCTCTGAAATTGAATTACTGCTGGTATTAATTAACTGTGATGCCTATAAAAATTCAATGTGGAAGAATTTGAACATCTTATTTACAATTTGCCTTAAGTGTTGTTTTTTAAAAAAAATATATTTAACCAGTAAAACCCGTAACAAATCGTGCAAATCTAGTTATTATTAATAGAAACATAAATTCTTACTAAAATTCACTTATTTGATTTTCATAAATACACATTTTTTTCCAATATTCGTTCACAACGCACATTTTACAATAAAGCTTTGTGCGCTGCTGTTGTGAAACTATTTCACAAGATCTCACAAGACCGTTAATTTCTTCACTTATCTCACGCACAACACTCTGACATTATAAAGCACAAACATCATAAAAAGCACAGTATGACCAGTTCTTTAGATGTACACAGCAAGCATACTGTACCTTGTTACAGCCTAACTTTTTAACATTTTAAGGAGGATGTCAACAAGGCAGCTACAGAAGCTTTGGTTATTTTTGGACCAATGCAGCTGTATTCTTATTATACAGACAGTATGCCGCACGCCACACTAATAAACTAAGAGAAAAAAAAAAGTTTTGTGTGAACTGTTCAAAAAGCACCATAAGAAATACTGCGGTAAAATTAAAAAAGAAATCTTACCAAAATACACTTCTTTCTGGCACTTAGGACACTTGGGCATGTTTGCAAAACTTGCTGATGTCTTGTTATGAGTTAAATATCCGCTTTTGAAAAGCGCCAAGGTACCTGTCTGAAAACCACGCCTAACTTGCTTTAACCATGCAGAAAAATCAACCCGTCCCCTCTTATTTATAGTGCGAAGAAGACAGTTTGCACACGGGAATAGCTAAGAGAGGGAGAGGCTTAAACTTTTTCTGCACACGACCCTGTGTAAACGAAGCCAGAAAATATTAAAAATGCAAAATTTGTTCATTCAAAGTAGAATATAGGAACCGGTCACAATCAAACAGCGGAAAGGGAAGATGTAGTACTTGAGTGCTAACGACTGTTTAGAAATGAAAGTGCTGCGCAGTGCTAAAACGAAACCTGACAACAAGTGGTTTCATAGGTACTGTATATGTACTGTATTAATGTTGTAAAATAGCTATCAAAAGGGTTTAAATATTATTCCCTCCCTGTAGTTTTAACAGTAGCCCACACTTACAACAATCGTATTGACATTCGTTTCAACTTCCAGTTCAAACTTACAGTATCGTCATATTGCTTATTATACATTTCCAGAAGAGTAGGGGTGCACTAATTAACGGTTAGACTATTTTCAAATTATATTTACGATTACATTTTTTTAATTTTATTTTTTTTTCTGGATAAAAGCCTGCAGCGCTTTTAGATACATATACTGGTCCTGCAAAATTGCGATTTCATGGCTTATTAGTGAATTAAACACAGTGGCGAGTATTCAGTCTAGACTGTAGATCTTGTTTCTGTCTCTATGTATTTGACATTTTTTTGTTTTCAAGAACAATAATTATTTTGGTAGTACAGTATGTGGTTACCGATTTATTTTCTTAAGCTATGATTTGAGATTCCGTACTTATCAGGAAATGGGTGTTGTCAGGAAGTGGTTTGGGCACTCGTAGAGCAGAAAGGAATTGAGCGAAAATGTATTAGTGGGGACTTCCAGGGTCATGCCCTGTCTCACCTTTGCACATGGGCTTTTTTTAGTAGTGCAAATACTACACTTTGGTGGTATCCACAATGTCAGGAAAATGTGGCACTACACTGTATTTGTATTAAGAAAAAAAATACTGTTTTTGAAACATTTGTTAAAAAAATCTTTGGGGAAAGCCCCACCTGAGTTTCTGAAATATGCTTTCACTTAACATTT